CTCCCTCCCTCCCCAGACACTCCGGAATGGGCTTTGGCTGGTTGTTGCACCAGCCAGAGCAAAATTCAAGTCAACAGTTTGCTCTCCTGAAAGTGCAAGCTTTAAAAAAAAAAAACAAAAAAGGAGAGGAGAAACGTCCTTGGGTCTGCTTTCTAATAAAAAAAGTCATGAGCTGAAATTCCTTGTGTTAAACACATGATGTTGTGCTGCAGATCAGAAACTTGCAGACTTGCTCAAATCATTATTTATTTTTATTTACTCATACATGTTAATATTTGGAGCTGTAGTTTTTTGTTAAACCCCAGTGAAGCAGCTTCTACAGGCAGCCTGATGCTCCTGGAGGGCCATGGAGGGGGTGTGTGTCTGCATGTGTCCCCAAGGCCTATCATCTGGTCCAGGCAAGGAGAACTCTGGCCACAACCTCAAGAAGGAGATGGGAAGCAGTCATGGCTGGGAGCACAGAATTAGCTTTTTATGGAAATGCCCTTGTGAGAGCTGAGTGTGTAGTGGCTGATGGTTCATGGGGAAACTGATGGTGTGTCACAACTCCGCATAAAGTTGCTCCCTGTTGGCCTCCACTAACCAGAAGGGGCACTGGGACAGTTCATATGCTGTGACTCAAAATTGCAGCAAGTGACATTCTCTGCAGCTTGGCTGGGATGCTTTTTTCTGGAAGCACACTGAGGTAAATGTCACCCAAAGCACCTCCATCCATATAGACCCACAGAAACTGAGCTCCGGGAGCTGGAGTTGGCCAAAGACAATTTGAGCATTGTAAACCCCATCCTTTCTGGACAAAGTTAAGCTGGGGCAGGTGAAACTCTTCTGCAGTTTATGGATCTGTGTAAGTTGTTTGTAGCAGGCTGAACCCAACGCATTTGCTCTGCTAACCCAGTGTCTCTGCAATGCCATGTGCTGCGACAGCTTGTGTTGGCAGCGTGCTGGAGCTGTACTTGTGTGAGCTCCTTGCCAGGGGAGTTACCCTACCAGGGAGGGGGGAGCAGCAAAGGACAGCCCCACAACAAAGGCTTTCTGCTGTGGAGTAGCTCTCCAGCTGTGCATGGGCGAGACAGTGACAAGGGCTGTGGGGAAGAAACTATCTGATGAACTGGCCCAGGGCTCCGGGGTGCCCTGACCTGCTCCGGCCAATGCCCTGCACTTACCCGCCTGCTCCCGGCTCACAGAGTGGTTGTTGTTTTCATTCTCCCGACTTGGCACCACCAGCTGGAGCTCATTGATATCGACAGTGGAGTTCTGGATCCTGTTCTACAACTCAGAACATGCCCCAGTAAACATCGTCAGATAAACAGTGCAACAGCCAACATGAAAGAGAGAAACAGAAATTGCTGAAGCCATTAGCACTAACCTCCTGGTCACTGCATGCGTTGGATGAGCTCCTTTTGGGGCACGTTCTCTGCCTGAAAAGGAGAGACAGCAACAACAACAACAAGCCCTCGAGTGAGTTAAAGATCCACAGCAGGAAAGTTCTCAGCTCTGCTCATCCTGCGAGGGGAACCCAGCAGGTTATGAGCATCCAAAATACTTGCCAAGACTCAAGGCAGCAAGGCCTGTAAACAAGGGGAGAAAATTATATGCTCATGTGGTGGAAAGTCAGCTGAGAAGAGAAGAACCTGTCATCTTCTTCCCATGCTCACTGCAAAAGCAGGAACAGAGCTCAGACCTCTGCCAAATCCCACCAGGCTCCCCCCTGACAGCTGCTCTTTCACATCAGTAACTGAATAGCAGGACTGAGATCCTTCAGTCTGGGCAGTGACATCCTTCTTATCCTGCTAGACAGAATATTTCATCTGCATAGCTAATTCTGCATACTGGGTTATATTTAGCAAGCAGAGAGCATCCGATGCTGTTCATTTGTATGACTGTTTCACTAAAAGGCAGTGCTGTGGCAGATGATGATGGGATGAATGTGCCCCTTGGCTGAAGGGGGATACAGGCATGTCCTTAGCAATTTTTTTCACATTTTTGTTGAAATAGACATTACAAAACAACTAGGGTTATAAACTTTTGGATGAATAAGACTTAAAGATATCACAAAGAAAGGCTGGCACTGGTGGATGTGATAATGACTGAAACAATGTAGTCTGTGCCCAATGGTTCTCCAGGGGACAGTGCAGACATGGGGAAGCATTAGGCACTGACTGATGGGATACAACCCAGATTACTGCAGAAGCAAATTCTCACCCCCAGGTGATGGATGGGCAGCAAGAAATGACTGTCAGGGCAACTTGGGTGGGGAGAGTTGGCAGCACTGAAGGCTTGATGGAGTCACTGGGCACTCAAGGGTTGGGAGAATATGCAGACATAAAGTGCAGTTGCAATTCATGGCTTGCAACCATACAGCAAAAGTTTGATTGCATGGGACAGGATTAAAATTAAATAAGGTGGACGTATCTGTTGTTCCTGGGGCTTGGGAAAGAAAATAAAAAATCCCCCATTACTCGAGCCAGGCTTCATGGCCAAAAGTAATTAGAAGTATTGGCCAACTAACAACTGAAGCTTTCATTCCCTCCCCAAGTAGCAAACAAAAGCTGCAGTGTGGCAGAGACTTGGAGTTTCCCCAGAGAGCTTTGCCCTGCTCAATGCAATGAGCCTGAGCAGATACTGCTGATGACTTGGTGCACTGGAGTGGCAGTGGGTGCCAAGCCCTTCCCAGGCCATTTCTACTCCTGGCAAGGCAGAGCCTGCTACTTTTAGCTGAGCAAGAGCAGCAGACAGAAATGGAAAAAAAAAAAAAAATAAAAAAATCAACGGCTAAACCTGGTACCAGAGGAATAAATAAAGTATGAAGAGAAAAGAAAGTGGAAGGCAAGTTTACAAGGCCAAGAGCTTCCAGGTTTTTCTTGGCATCCTCTGCAGTGCCCAGTCCAGCCAGCAGAGTGTCCCTGGGCCTCGGGGGGCTGGTCCCAGTTCCCAGTGTGCTGCACTGGTAAAGCACCATCATTTTCCCCCTCAGCCCACCCCGTGCTACCCTGACATTCTCTGCAGTGAGAACAGACTGTGGCTAATACACATTTGACACCTGATTTCAAGCCCCTATTTAGGACAAGAAGCATAAAATAGAGCTCGATGGGCTCAATCTAAGAGAAGTTTAATGCTTAGTGCTTAATGGCCTCAGCAGTCTTATTCTGAGCTGCATTAAAAACCCACAGCTGTGAGGTGTGAGCAAGCTCCAACCAGTGCCAGTGGTGCTGGGGCCAGAGACCAAAGCAGTTCCCACAGTAAAGAGGGAGAAAAGACAACACAGGTGAGATAACTCAGCACAGATCATTACTTCCACCTGGTGTCACTTAAATGCTGTGATGTCTCACAAAAAATAAAGTGGTGTAATCAAGGCTTCCCAAGAACAGCATGCAGGGAATACAGGAGGCTGGGAGAGTAAACACCCTGTCAAGAGGCTAAAGGAGTAGGGCTAGTCTCTATTTACATTCAGTCAATAGCTGGCTAAGGTATAGATATATTTAAAAAAAAACCCAAAATACCAAAGAGTTGTAGAGCAATGAAGAGGCATAAATGCCAGTGTTAAAAGAAACAAGCCTAATCCTGTGCCATAGGACCCCTGGTAGGATGTATTCCCAGCAACCAGAACACACAAACATTGGTGTGTGGGGCTGAAATCCTGTGGGCTTTTTTTTTTTTTTTTTCTGTTGGTCAGCAAGAGCAGAACATTATTTTGTAAACATCTGACAAGCAAAACGCCAAACTGTGAATGTGAGAAGCATGGCCTGACTTTCTAAACAGGCTTTGCAGAGGAAACCTCAGCCAGTGGAGCCTCAGATTGCCTGTGTACTTTTTGGGTTGAATAATAACTCTGCTTCATGGATCGTTACAGTGAAATTAAATAGGGGTATTGGAGCAAGAACAGCCTACTCAACATGTGTATCAGCCCAGACTGCTGCCATAGCAAAGGGAGCCTGTTTCTGTCTCTTTTGAAGATTGGCAAGGGTATAAAAATAAAGTATTTGGTATCTGGAAGACATTTTCCACCAGACTTTTTCCTTTAGAGCTAGCAAAAAAATTGTGGTCTAAATTAGTGTTCTGCAAGCTCTTTAAAAACAAAAAGGTTAGTTAGATGTAGTACATGCAAGTTTAACTCTTACAGCTACAAAAAGCTCAGACCCTGAAAGCAGGAATTTCTATATATGGAGCAAGAGAGATGATATTTAAGCTTCACCACCGTGCCCATGTTTTCTGGTGCCCAGTGTGACTGGCCTGCATTTCGTGTTTATTCAGCCAGAGCTAAAATGCAGCCTCCATAAGGACAAGGAAAAGCAAGTTGCTCAAACCAGCCCCAGTGGCGAGGGCTGGCTGGGCAGTCCTGAGACCTCTGGGGTTGGATGATGCACACTGGATGAGGCAGGAGATGCAGGAAGGGAGAAACCAGAGCAGCTGTGTGATGATTCTGGGAAATGAATGCTCCTCCTGCTGATACCCATCCACCAGAGTGGAGCCCTGCAAGGGGCACTGTTTGTTTCAGTTTACCTGATGTTGTCATTGAAGTCAAAACATTTGAAAAATGGTGTTTATTTTTACAAAAACCTGGGGAGCAGAGGCTCTGTTTTGAATTTGTTGGGAGGGAGAGAAATAAATCACTGTTTCTACAAAAATGTTTTCACTAGGAAGTTAGAAAATGCAAACATATGCTGGGGGGCGGAGAAGTGTTCCTAGGATAGATACAGAGAAAAGAAATATATAAAGGAGAAGCAATTGACTGGAGAGGCATGCTTGTGTAATTGTCTGGTTTTAGCCTTTAACTAGTTAGCATCAGGACCTGGAAATTCACAACCCAGCCTGACCACCAGCTCACTTGACTGGATCATTTTGGATTGCATTTGGGAACAATGAGAGGTACTGCAACATGGCTCTGGGCTCTTCCTCAGCATCAAAGGGATGTGCAGATGACTTCTTAACATACTGAACGCATTGGATTTAAAATGTCTGCACAGTCTCTTGGATAAAATATGCTACAGATGGGAAAATATTTTTAAATCTTAATTTTAAATCTTAATTTAAATCTTAATACGTGGTAATACTTTGGTTATTATTTACTTTTCTGCAGAGTGCTAGTGATGGTTAGTTAGAGCCAAACTGTGGGAAAAGATGCAGTGACTGTCAGCTCAGCCCACTCAGGAGACTCAGGGAAGGATGATCTTTCTGTGCTGATTTTGTCCATCAGCCAGAAGCTGATGTGCAAAGGCACCACTACTATTGAAACTAAAAATGACCAGGCAAGTCCTGACTGTTCAGGTATTTATGCAGGAAAAAGGAAAGAAATCTGAGGTAGAGGAGCTGTAGGAAAGAAAACTGAGGAGCCTAAGGCAGGAGCAGTGTACCCACTTTACCACACTTGGAGGACAGCAGGAGTTAGCAAAGCAAAGGAAACATAACTCTTTTCTGGAAATATAACTCTTGTCTGGTCCTTTCCCTGTGGATAATATCTCATGCTTCCAAGGCTCTGGTGTGCACCACCTTACCTGCAAGCTACACAGAGGGCAGAGAGCAAAGCAAGAGCAAAAACAATGATCCCTGTTACAATTGCCAGCATCATCATGTTCTCCTTCCTCTCCTGCCTCACAGCATCCACAGTGCTGGGGTCAGTGATGTTCCTGTACTCGAACAGCATCGCAAAGCCTCGGCCCCGGTCCGTGGTGGTGATCAGCTCCATAATAACCTCAACCATTTCCAGAGAGGAACCAAAGACCATGGTCTTGTTTACAGGGGAATTTGGGCCGCAGAAGCGAGAGGAAAATGTGATGAGATCGGAAACATATAATACATCATGGGGACAGACATCCACTGCTGACTGAGGGCTGGAGGAGATTTCCAAGGGCAATGCTGTTGAGGGAAGAGTCCAGCTCTCTACTGTGACTTCATTTCTCTCACTAGCAGCCAGGTGGGCAAGCAAGATCTTCCCTTCCAAATCCTCTCCTGTTTCCAGGCCACTGGTATTTTGCCTCTGCATTGAGACACTACCAGCCACGGGGAATGGCAGCTCCTCCTTGGTAATTGCTTTGGGTTCCTTCATCTGCTTCCACTGGTTTTCTTCAGATGCTTGTTTGGCTTCATCTTTTTTTGAGATGGTTCCCGGAAGTTCACTCAGGTGACCAGCAAGGTCCTTTGACTGGTCTCTGGTGCTGCTCAGATTCTGAGCCACCTTTGATGTCGAGGCCCGGAGAGAGGGTTTTGTGGTGTGGACAGCAAATTCCAGGTTTTCCTCAAGAGAAGGCATGTCCTTATTTTCTGTTGTAGCAGGGGCTGTAAAGCCATCCCAGGGGGTTGGAGTTTCACTAGAGCTCTCAAAAATGTCAAAGTCAAATATTTCCAAGATGAGATGGGTTCTCATGGGAATGAAAAACTGCCAGACGCAGTGTGTCCCTGGGTAATAGTTGTTTGGAAAACCTGGTGACAAAATCAGGCCTCTTTCCATTGATTCCACCACTGCACCACAGGAGTAATACACCTGGGAAAATAAACAAAGAATCTTACATCTTGCCATAGATTATACCCAGGATGCAGTCTGCCAGACCAGTGGAAGTTCTGGCTCTTTTCTTTCCCTTCAGAGTCTGGTTTAAGATGCTGTCAAGACAGGGGAATTCATTAAGCTTGTGCAAGTTTTAGCTCCTACTTCTGTGGAGCATTGATCTGATATGGGAAGCCACTCTTAGAGACTATGGAAGTGTATATTGCGTGGCCAACCTCCAAGAGAAATATAACCCACATAAGTAATTCACATAATTCTCACTTCCTACTACTGATAATTTGTGCTGTTGGCAAACATACAACTTTTTGACCACACAAATGTGTTGCCCTAAACAGTTGGTTGTGTGAGAAAAATCTTAAGAAGCTAAAGGAAAAATGTGTCACAGCATTTAAAACTCTGTGTTATTTTCATTACAAAAACATTTTCATGTAAAAAAGAACCTTTGCATTGATGATCACCCATGATTCATCCAACCAACTCATCTTCTGTTTCAAGGACATTCAGCCTTATTTACTTCAATAAAATGTAGCTGCTTTGATTGGGCAAATTGTCTCTTTTTCAAGTGCAAAGCCTCTCAAAATAGTGACAGCAGATACCAGCTCTCACCAGTAAACCAGCAACCAACATACATTTTACATAACACAGCGACAGTTCCATGTGAGCCTGCTATTTCTTCCCTCTCCACAAATAGCCTCCAGCCTCCAAGGAGGAAGGAAGTCCATAAATGGTGGCACTAACCACCATTCTGTGCTTTTCTAAAGGTGCATAAGGCTGCTTTTTCACATCATATTTACAACTACCTTCTCCCAAAGCTGCTCTCAGAGCCTTTTTTCAATATTCTTTCATAAATTTGCAGAGCACAGAGCCCAGTCTATGCCTTAGGCAATTGTTTTTGAAAAGGGAAAGAAAAGAAAACAAAACCAGAAGTGCTTAGGTCACAAGCTCTGTCTAGGAGCATGGGTTTACAAGCATTAATTGGAAAAGAAAGGGAATGCTTTGGGTTTGGTGTGGTTTTTTATTGGAAATGATTAGTCGTCTTGGTCTGTTATCTATTTAAACACAAAGGAACTTGGCAGTAGAACAAACAAAGCTTATGAAGTCCATAGAAAGCCACAAAGATCAAAATACTCCTTTTTTTTTTCTCTTGCTCCCTCCCCTTGGCTCATATTGAAATGGAAAGAAAAAAAATGCAATGCCAAATGTTAAAAGCTTAGAAATAAAACTCCAGACCTGTTCTGTGAGGCACAACCTTTGTTTTCCAGCAGGTGCTGCTCATATTCTGGGGGATTTCAGGGTAGATGCAGGATGACCACAGAAAAGGACCAAAACAGTAACGTGGGTGGAAACTGTGTTCTGTATTCAACTTGGAATCCAATATTTGACTTGTAAAAGTGTCATCTAAATCAAAGCTTATCTTAATTATAGTGGAATAAGCTGCAGGCTCCTCATTTAAGGCACCTGGGCTGGACTAGGGCTGGAAGTCTCAAGTGGAAAACCACATTCATTGCCACACACATATTATTCTCTGTCTAATGCCTTAGAGTCCCACATGTAAAATGAAAACATATTAATAGAAATTTGCTGATCTTTTCTCCAGGGGGTAAAATGTTGGGGTTCAGTCTGGATTTGTTAATTTATGGTAAAAATCTGGGGGAAACAAGCAAAACTTGATGTCAGTTTAAGAGGCTACAGGTCCTAACAGTTAGATCCATTTACTAATTCACATCAGAATTATAGGTACATTTGTTGCCACTTGGATTTTACTGAAAACTTGTGAATATGCTCCACTTTCCTCAGGGAGAGGATGCCTCTTATACTTGGAATAAGAATAAGAATAGAGGGATTTTCTCTTTTTTCTCTTGTATTCCTTCCCTTCATCCCAGCATAATGGTGCAGTCTTGCCTTTGTTCCACACTAATCTTCTGAGCTCACTTTTAAACAAGATATTTGCATAGCAAGAAACAGTAAACACCACCTAACTTTTGCACTAACATATGTGCCCAGTTTAGGAGGCAGAATGTGCACCAGAACTGCTGCTCTCGCAGGGTGGCACTCCTGGATGTGGGAGGATCACAGATTGGCTCAAGCTTCCTTAAATTAGCAGTGATTGAGGGCTGAGAATTTGTTTTGAGGAATATGTGAACTGATCCAGTTGCCTTTTTTCAGACTCTGAGAAGGCGCTTGGAGGCGTTCACAGCCCCTCCTCTACTACCAGGAGACTCTGCTAACACCCGAGAGCTGCAGCCACCGGATCAGCGGGGCCTGTGGGATTCATCACCGAGTGCTGAATGGGGAATGCAGCCCCCCCAAATCCCTCGCCCCTGCTCTCAGGATAAGCTCCCTTTCCTGCCTTCACTTTCACTCGGATCTGTCAAATTGTCATCATTTGAGGAAGAATATCTTGCACGTTCTGTGTACATCCAAGGAGTCTCAGATGAAAGGTGCCTCTTGAGCCACCAGCTGGCTACACTAAAAACCCCAGGAGCTGCTCTGCACCCCCAAACCTGGGCAGAGGGGGAAATGCAATGTGTGAATTCCTGAAATATGGCTGAAAAGTCATGGCAGTGGGAGAATTGTTCATTTATTACAGCTTGTGAGACCAAAAAGATTCAAGACTTGCTCTGAGATCAGGGAAAAAACCCACAAGGGACAGGAAATGCAAGACAGATCTGAGGGAAAGGGAGGGGGAAGGATTTCTGATTAGTTTATAATCCCCAACTGAATGAATGACAAAATGGTTTTGTTCATTTGAATCACCCATTATGAACCCTGAGTTTTGCCAATTAGACACAGATGTTCCCTTCTGCAGCAAGCTATAGGCTTGTGGGCTTTTGACAGATGCAGGCAAAAAAAAAAATTGGCACATTTTAAATCTTTGCAAATGATAGGTTGTTGTCTTTTTAAAAACAACACCTGATATATGCCCACACCAATTAGGTGAATTATGAGCAGGGAGAACCAGATTACCAGTCCTGTTTGTCTGCTTTTCAGTACTTTCCTCTCTGGCCAGAGGTTCCAAATGTTTCCAACAGTTGTGTTGAACTGAATCTCCAGTCCATCGTGGTCAGACAAATCCTATCTGCTTTCTGTATTGGGGTAACAGGGGAACTGCATTTAGTATGTTTAGAAGTAACTCAAATCTCAGTTACTGCTGCTTGGTCACAGACACAATGGTTGGCTATTTCAGAGCATGACAAGATGTTGCATTTCCTCCTTTCACATTACACAGCCCACTCAAAAGCTTAAATCTTGTGCCATTACTAAAATTTCCCCATTGTCATGTACTTACCTCCTCCTGTGCTGATGTTTGGAGAAGTTAATATTGACATCAGCTTTGAGCTATTTAAGATACACATGTGTAAGGAGTTATAAAGCTTCTGCACCAGGAAACACAGGGCTAAGGAGTACAAGGAGGACCTTGTGCTTGTCCCTCAAAAGTGATTGTGGAAGTGGTGCTCTGATGGTGCTGAGAATGCTCTGCTGCCCTCTGAGGAGCATGGCTGCAGCAAACCCACGTGTGATGCAGCTGTAGGGAGTTTTTCTTACACATAAAGCTGTGTTGGGTAGGAACAGATGTGGCCAGAAGTGACTGCAGGCCATTGTTCAGGAATCTCACCACAGACACCAGCGGCTGCTTCCTGAGGAGCACCAGCTCCCAAAGAAAGAGAAGCCCCTGCTGTATTGTACAGGGGTGCAGCACAAAGCCAGTGTGTCATTGCTTCCAAATGGATTCTTCTGTACATCAAAGACCTCTTGAGAAGCAGGAGGCACTGATGAAAAGCAGAATTCCCATGCATAAAAAGGAGAAAATTATTGTTTTGGCCAGATGGGATTTCACCATAAGGCCCACCCAAGACTATGCACGGGGAAGAGTAGTTATCATCATCTGAGTAATAGAACTCTTAACTCTGCTCTCCACTCACACAACACCTACAAATGTAGGCCTGGAGCCTCTGCACTCTTCCTGCAGGAACACTGTCAGGGAATCAACACATTGTAAGGAAATCCCACTCCCTACAAGATTAATTTAATTTAATAATATAATTATCACCCTTTAGTCACAATTAGTGCCACAGAAGGCACCAGGCTGGACCAGAGGCAAGCTCAGAAGCAAGCTCCTCACTTTTCCAGGACAGGACAAGTTCTTTCAGCAGCTCAGAGCAACCCCACGCTCAAAACCTGCAGGGGTCTTGCAAAAAGCCATGAATGGCAAGTTGTGGCAGCCTCTAGCTGGCCCACAGCCTCTTCAGTGATGGGTACCAGCCTCTGCCTGAACCACAGGGAGCAGGCATGGCTGGGTTTCTCAAGCTTCTCTGTCCTGCCTCCAGAAGAGAAGTGCTGCTGGCCTCAGGTGATGCTGGGAAGCCAGAGGGAACATGGGAGGATGCTGTGACGTGTGGCTGGTAACAGAAGGTGTCATGGCCATGTGGTTCAGCTTGTAAAGAGACAAGCCCTGCTGAAGAGAACTGGAAACAAAGAGACGCAAGGCCCTGGGTAGGGAAATCCTCAGCCCATTCGTGTTCTTAGATATTGTTTCTTTTTCTTCATTCATGTTAATGCTGGCTATGAGAAGCTGCTGGTTGCAACATCCTAGAGGACACCATCCCACTTGCATCCCAAAGAATGTTTATTTCTGAAGTGTATTTATTTCAAAGAAAGGGAAGGAGGATATCCTGTCTTGATGTTTGATATTCCTCTGTGAGCACAATCTCAGATTTTCTGGCTTGAGACTTGTCCAGCGTAGCTTGTTTTCTTTTATAAAATACCTAAGGAATAGCAAGTTCTTGTGGTGTATACCCAGAGTCAGAATGAAAGCTCAGCAGAGGAAACTGGAGACACACAGATGAGCCACTGAATTTCCACGACACCCTCAGAGGCCAAGCCACACACCTAATAGAGATACCCAGCTGCAAGGCTGCGAGGAAATTATGTGCAAAGTTCATAACCCACTTTGCCCTCATGAATGCTTTATGCACATCTCAATTCTGTGCATTGCTCACATGTATTTCGAGTTTCAGGCAGATTTAAAAATGTCACTTCCACTTCTTTTTAGAAACAAGCGTAGGAATAATCCACTATATTTCAAACTGACTGAACATTTAAGAAGTTCTGCATTTATTAGTCTTTTCAAGCACAGAGGCGTATTAACTCCTTATCCAAGTAAAAGGGCTTTTTGGTCTTCGCCTGAAGACTGTACAAGAAAAAAACCTAATACTGGAGTAATTAGTGGAGGTGAGGATAGAAGCTTTTTATGAAGACCTTAGGCCTTTCAAAAAATCATTCTGAAGTGAGAATACTTGGTTATGATCCTATGATTTGAATCAGAGAGTTATTTTATGTTATGTCCCTTCCTGTAAAATAGCCCCACTATTTAAACACTTCTAAGGGTAGAAAACAAAGAACTCCTCTGCAGGTAGATTTTTTTTGCTTAATTTAAAAATCAAAATCCACTGCAGCTGCCTAGTGCCAGAACAGGACAGTGTATGGGTATTCCACAGTAGCCTTATCTTGTCAGCCTACAGCTGATTCAACAGAAGCCACAGGGGTAAGCAAATAGTTTCTGCACAGAGATGGATGCAGTCTTAGAATCCAAGATTGTTCAGCCTAGATGATTAAATTTAGCCATCTGAGCTCAGCATAGCATCAGTGGGTTGAAAATCCAACAAGCTTTATTTGGGATCACTCACCCCTCCAAAATTAAAAACATCTTATGTGCACACATGCAGACACACGTGTGTTTCTTTCAAAGAGCTGGAAACACTTCAAGGCTCCTTCACCAGCTCCTTCACATTTATTCTGCCCAAGGGACCTCTTTAAAACTCTGGCTGCACCAACATCTTTGCTCAAAACACAGAGGGGGAGATATGGCATCCCAGCTACTTCCCCCTTTTCCCCTCCAAAC